AGCACTTAGCCCAGTGCCAAGCATACAGTAAGCACTCAATAAATGTAAGCAATGATGATGACGAATGAGCATCTATCACTGGGCAGGTCACCGAAATATAGTGACAGTAGAGAGATGAGTAAATTGTTTTTGCGTTGTTTATCTCATCTTTTCAAGTAAATATAAAATTAATTACTCAATTTTCTTTTTTTCTTCCTGTTTCCCATGGGAGAGAGAGTGTGTGCAACGCATGAAACAGGCAATCGATAAAGCTCATTGGAAGGTTGAATGAATGAATTCATTAAATGGATGGATTGAACATTTTGCCTAATATAATCACTTAAAAGAAAAAGACAAAAATTGCATTAAGAAACACACAAAATAAATTTAAAAGTTAATGGAAGAATTGCGAAAGCCAGGCAGAGAAAAGAAACATTTTTTTCCAACTGAGAACAGTCTAGGTCCTTTAATTATCACCGTCTGGAGCGAAAGTGAGCGCCGTTTGCCTCAGAGCTCATTCATCCCCCATCACGCCTGACTGGAGCTGCCTTCCACAGCCATCGTTCCAGACGCCTTCGAGTGATGTAGTAAAAGTGCACAGCACATGACAGGCTGCGAAGCTCAACATTGACCTCTGAATGGTGCTCAGACCAAGTCTGAAGCGGGGAGGGTAGGAAACATTATCCCATTTTATGGACGAGGAAACTGAGGCTAGATACGAGTCCAGCAAATTCGCCCAAGGTCACTAAGCTCAAAGTCGCAAAGCTAAGCACTAAAATTTGGGTCGGGGTCTAACTTTCAGACGTTAAGTTACCCTCAGCCTCTGAGTGACATGTGCAAGGGTGTGTTTTAGCCTCTCTCCTCTTTTTCACTCCTAGGAAGGCTTCTCCCCTGCAAGGGAGCACGAGTTCACCTGCCCTAATATAGAGTGAGATGAAGGGGAAAAAACCCTAAGGCATGGAGGAGGGAATCGGGCAACGAATTTGAGGATTTGCTGTAGCTGGGTTTTCAAGAGTAAAAAAATACATATAGAGGAGGCATGGGGCCCTTCCTTTCCCAACAGATTTTGGCTCAGATTATTCCAAGACTCAATTAGGGACCGTCCTCTCTCCTCCGAACAAGCAAAAGGTGTCTCTTAGCTGCCAAGGCTTGTCTCTCTGGCTCCTCCCAGAGGCAGACTTAGAACCGGGTGCAGAGCAAGCATTTGGGGGATACATTATTTGATCAGAAGTTTATCGTGGAATTCTGTGATGGTAAATAACGCATTCTCAAGTCCGTGGATGATGTGCAGAGTGTTGGCAACGGTAAGCACAGAAGATTAGCAGAGGGCACTTCTGGGTAACAAGATGACAAATTATTATCGTTGTCTTTTTGCTGATTTATATTTTATAATGTCTCTAAAACTACTGTGCATTTCTTGTGCAACAAACAATAAGAGCAAATTTAAAAATGGTCCCAAACAGTTACATTTAATGTGTTTTGGGAACAGGGGAAGAGGGTAGGCTGGGCCCTCGTTAACATGCACCTCTACACCCGAGATTGTGCCCTGCTCATTGATTACAGTGATAACAACCACCAGTCTGTGCTATAAAGTATTGAGATTCCGCGGTCCCCCAAATGGCGCTCAGAGTGTACCCTGTTTTTCATGATATTTCCAAACCCTCTACCTTCACAGCTCTCTCCACTGGATTATAAAACTGTCGAAGCAAATGAGTTTCCAAACTACCTGGCAGTTTCTGTCATTGGATTTAATTAAATCGAGGCTATGAATTTGATGTTCGCTTCACCTCACCCTTTATGGGAGGTGTGAAAATAAAGCTTGCACTTGATCTTAAAACATTAATATTTGACAGTCTGTGGCTCTCATTAAAATAGAAGCCTCTTCATGTGCCTAAGTGTCCAAACTGTCATTTAGGAAATCCGAACCTTTGATTAATTGCATAGTAATGAAGTCTCCTGTCTTCTTTCTATGTGGTCCTTGACTAGTCTCCTTCTATGCTTATCTAGTGAGGCTTCTTATTTTAAGTACTGTCAAAATGTTTTTGTCACCATGTTACCTAAGTTGCAATGAGTACTAAGACTTCCTAAGAATAAAGACTTTTCACAATGGTAAAAGACAAAAACAAAACTCTCATACACGAACAGACAGTGAATTCTTCATTGTGTGCTGGGCATTGTTCTGCGGGTTTTACAATCTGCATTCATCATCATTCATTCATGCCGTCAATAAGAACTGAAAGCCTACTATGTGACGGGCATTCTTCTAGGCTTCAGGGGTAGGGTGCTGAGCCCTGCTCTCACTTAGTGAGATCACAGGAAACAAATGAAATGCAGACATGATCGTTTAAGGCAGTGATCATGCAGTAAAGGAACCAGGGATAGATTGAGGGCAAGGGACAACGTTAGAAAGGCTGCTCAGATATGAAAGGTAGAACCGCTCCCTGGACAGCTGGGATTGGGCTGGAACAGAGAGTATGCCTATGTGTTGGTGTGCTGGGGGCGGAGGGTTAACAACAGTTTCGGAGGAGCACGCTTTGGGTGCCCGGCTTCCGCTGAGAACCTTTCGAACCGAGGCAGTTCCCTTTCTCTGGAATTTCTCTCCCTTCCAGAGTTTGCACTGACTTGCCATGCTCTAATTCATTGCTGTTTACGGAGCACCATACTCTTATTTCATGTCATCCTCATACAACTCATCCCGCAGCCCACTGACCAAGGAAACCGCATCCTTCTTGGTTCTGAAATTTCTGAGATCCTTCCCTCCACAGGGGTCTCCTCCTCTGACACTCTCCTGGTCCACCCCATCCACTCCCACTTCCTTCTCTCCTCCCTCCCTCTACTCCATCCCTTCTCTTTTCAACTCCTCTCTCCAATCCTTCTCTCCCCTTCCCTTCTTCCTTCCCCTGTCCTTGGCCAACTTCTCCAGGCAAACCCAGAGCTAGCATTCCACCGCAGTCCTTCTGATCCTTCTTATACACTAAGGAAAGATGCTTGGCTCGGGCTTGCTCACAGCCCACCCACCCTCCTCTGGCCCCAGCCAGCAGACAGGAGGGGAGAGAGTTGGAAGTAAAGGGGGTACCTGGTAACACAGGAATGGCGGGGTTCTCTAAGCCAGTATGGTGGCAAAGGTGGGAGGGAGCGGGGGAGTTAGGTTCCAAGTGCAGGGTCCCCATTGTCCTCTGCCAAAGGTTTACAAAACCCAGCCCCTGCCTAACTGTGGCCCCACCTTCCTCTGCGCTGCCGTTGCGGTAAGCTCAGGCCACACCGCCCCTGGGCACCTGGGTGAACCAGCTTGTCATTTAGGTCTCGCCTCAAAATGTCACCTCCGCAATGAGGCCTTCCCGGACCAGCCAGCATAAGGAAACTCCCCACTTCGAGCGCAACGCCCTATTGTGTGTTCTCACGGTATTTACCGATATTGGCGACTGTACGGTTTATGTTTGTTTTCCCGTTATTGTCATCCACTAGCATGAAGCTGTGTGAGTGCAGGGACCTCAGGTGGCCTGGTCCGAGCACATTGCCCCTCTCGGCAGACGCTCACTCCCGTGCGTTTAGCAATAGATTCTACGAATGGGTGAACGGAAACTCAGCAAGACGGGGCATGGCTGGCCTAGAGCACAGTAAGGAGCGAGAGGAGAAACCAGGAGTCGGATTCCCGGGTCCTTCCCGTCTCGTCAGCCCTCGGCTCACCCAGGCGGGCGGAGATGCGCTTCGAGGGCCGACGGGGAGAGGTGAGCGCGGCGCTCCCCACCGAGGAATAGATTCTACGAATGGGTGAACGGAAACTCAGCAAGACGGGGCATGGCTGGCCTAGAGCACAGTAAGGAGCGAGAGGAGAAACCAGGAGTCGGATTCCCGGGTCCTTCCCGTCTCGTCAGCCCTCGGCTCACCCAGGCGGGCGGAGATGCGCTTCGAGGGCCGACGGGGAGAGGTGAGCGCGGCGCTCCCCACCGAGGGCGGGGAGCCGCGGACCCGAGGGCACAGGAGCCACGCCGCTGCCCCCGAGCCGGTGCGTTCGCGGTGCTCTCGGCCTTGGCCAACCCGGCAATTTGGATTTTACTTCCGAAGCCCAGAAGCCGGGCTGGCAGGTGACGAGCAAACCTAAAGCTGCAGCAGCCAGGCGAGGGCGGAGAGGAAGACGAAACCCCCCAGGGCCCTCGCTCCCCTTCCCCCCGCGGCCCGCTCTGGGGAAGCCCCCCGCCCCCGGGAGCGCGGAGGCTCGCGCGGC